GGTATACTAAAATCCATGTGAAAAAAAATTGCTTCTCACTGTTCTTAGGTCAAATATGTATATGCGATTAAAATTGCGATTAATTTCGATTAATTAATTACAAAGCCTCTAATTAATTAGATTAATTTTTTTAATCGAGTCCCGGCCCTAATTACATACCATGTGTAAAAATACAAATTGAGCATTCAAACTTTTTTTTTCAACCAACAATTTATTATTAATATGTTTTTCTCAACCAACTATTTATATAAATATAAGAAACTGGAAAAATCTCACTATTTACAATATTGAACATCAGAACTTTCAACCAACTATTCATTATAAATGTCAAGACAGTGTCAAGGTCTTTGTCTGTCTTCCAAGACAGTTGGTCTGGCTGCTGTGAAGATGGGGGTGATGGTGCATGGGCTGCTCTGTAGGTGGGGTGTACAAGTGCTATACGAGACCTCCACGGGACCTCCTTGCTGGCTGGGTTGAAGGTGATGGCTGTGGTGGAGCCTTTGTGCTGAGGTGTATCTTGACCTGGTGGCAGCCGCAGATGGAGGTGGAGGCAGCTATAGTGATGCTGGTCTGCTGGTCCTTGGTGGTGATGGCTCTGGTGAAGGCCCTTGAGCCACGGTAGATCTTGACCTGGGGGCCGGCACAGATGGATGTTCTGGCTGCTGGATAAACGCTGCCTGTGGGCCACTAGGCCCAGGCAGCTGTGAAACCTCTCTGTAAAACAAATTAAAATGTAGGACAATAATTACAACTAATTTCATTGAAATAAAGTTCAAGTAAAATGTTGCTCAAGCACAAATAACAATGCACACATAAAAAGAAAGTTTGGGAGGTTGGACAGGAGTCTCTCTCTCTCTCTCTCTCTCTCTCTCTCTCTCTCTCTCTCTCACACACACACACACAGGTATTTCCAGTTACGGTACTTTACATTCAGTATAAAATCACTGACACACATAGGCTACATCTGATTACAAAGTCTCATCTGTACAGGACGGTAAAATAATAACAGGCACACATATACATAAATCTATGACAAAGTCTCATCTGTACAGAACAGTATGATAAAATAATCGATGGCAAAAACATGTCTATAGGCACTGTAAATGTCTCCGTTGTGGGACGAATACATGATTCATTTAATCATCAACACATGTAATCTCACTTTTACACACCAAAATAACGTTAACACAGAGTAAACGTTTGCTAATAATGAGTCTATTTTGTCCCAAGAAAAAGTTCATGACTATCGATAAAAAAGATATATCAAGGGCTGTCAAACGATTAAAATGTTTAATCAGATTAATCACAGTTTAAAAATTAATTAATCATGATTAATCACCATTCGAACTATGTCCAAAATATGCCATTTCTTTATGTAGCCTATATTGTTGTGGGAATGGAAAGATAAATGAAAGAAGGCGGATATATCCATTTCACATACAGTATGTATGAATTATAACATTTTTCTGTGTGTCAAAATGAAAGACAGCCCACACCCCTATCAATCATCAAACCGTGGGGTCTTAATTCATTACGTGTTGATTTCTATCAACGGGGGAGTACTTCAGGAAAGTCGGGAGTACTTCGTGACCACAGAGTGTGAACGTTGTGATCAGCTGTTTTAGCGCAGTTCTCCAGTGAAGGGGGGGAGTCTCCCTCCGCAGCCGGTTGGCGTAGTTTTGGCACAATTCCGTTGCACAGACCGACGTTAACAGCAGCCCTGTCTGTGCACACGGAGACCGACTCTGTCGTCCGGTGATCTAACCGCCTTCTGGAAAAGCTTCACAAGTACGTCGGTACGCAAATGCGCTTTGTGACACAAGTGACGGTACGCATTTCAGATTACGCACATAACCTACCAGTTATGTGCACCCCTGTACTACAGCAAAAGTATTCTCCGTCGGGACTTCCTGCAATAACACCACGCCGTTATCTTGATTCTGATTGGCCAGAAGATATTATCAAAGATGTTCTATTGAGAAGACGATCACTAGCCTACGTGACAAAAGTTTTCAAAACCGTTTCTGGTCTTCGGTATTTCCAGACAAGTGGCTACTGAAATCAATCTTACTAACTGCCGTCTGTGCAATTCTCGGCGCGAGTTGGCAGACTTTATTTTTGCTTACTTTAACATCATTTTTCATGGTGGGGCTAAGCCATTTCTTGGTATTCTTTCACACACATATACGGGTATTGGGCCGAGGGCGACACCGTACTTCCGGTATCCGCCGTTTTACGCGAGGTGCAAGCAGGCCAAGGGTTTAGCCGTACACCGTCTAGGTGTTGCTAAGCTTCCTGTACTGAATATCATAGTCTATTGCCTTAATCAATATCTAGTCAACTCTAAAATACCACATATATGCAATGGCATGATAATATTATTGTGACAAATTCACCTGGTGTTTCCAGAAATTAGACGTAGATGCAGCCAAAATCGACGCAGTCTGTAAAGGCAATCCGACAACCCACACAGCTCTAGTTTACGCTGGTAACTAACGACCTAGAGCACACCCCTCAAGTCCAGAGATGTAATCCGAAGACATGCAGCGATTTCTTCGGTCGTTAATTCAGAAAAAAAACCTAGTGCGCTCTGCCTTGCTACGTTAGCTAGCTGTTTATATTTGCACTTCCAGGATATTTGCACCTCCATGAAAATGGCGTATTTATATATATATATATATATGGCGCGTGTTGCATTGTGGGTAGCTCGTGACGTCACTGTGTGTGAAATAATGGGTGTAGCCTACCCCAGCCATACCCTGGCGCTGGTGGGATGTATGGGGCGGGCCATTCTGCACGTTAAATGCGTTAAATATTTTAACGCAATTAATTTAAAAAATGAATTACCGCCGTTAACGCTATAATTTTGACAGCATTAAACATATTGTTCATTTTCGCAGTATTCCCCACACATTGCCAGTACATTATTACTGTAACATTTACACTTACCCATGTCCAAATGGATCCTTGTTGTTGTCTTTGTATTCTTCTTCTTCAGAAGAGTCGAAGACTTCAGGTTCTGTACTCTATCTTCACTGCTGCTAGCGAAAAAAATCTCTAGCAAAGTCGGCAACTGTAACGTTTTTTTTAGCCATTTTCTCTGTCTCTCTCTCTCTCCTCACAGACGTAAACTGATGGGACGGGAGACACGTGGTTTATGTTTTTTTTACTTGGTGGGTAGGTCCTTAGTGATTTCTTGATGAAATCATTTCAGACCATGATGGCTGCCGGCCGAGATTTCCTTGACGGACACACAAATCCACCAATCAATCCCACACAGTGTAAAGTCAAGCTGCTTTGAGCGGCCATATTGGCTGCTGTGCCCTTCTTACAGTCTCACAAGAGATACTGCTGGAAAGCTACTCTTCCAGCGATTCCGCGGATATCTGAATCATATTTCTACTCCTTATAATCGAAAATATATGATTAATTACGTAAATTATGCGCACCTGGACGCGCCGGCGCGTCCACCGACTGAGGGTTTACTCATCAATAGTTCACGTTTTATCATGCACTCTGTAATAAATAAACTCTTTAAAGCAGAATTTCAAATGTTTATTTCAAAGATTGTTGCCAGACCGGAGAACCTCTGCACAGATAATAATAAATATTAAAATCACATGGTTTCTCCTCTAAAGTAACATATACCTATGTTTGTTTACTTATGCAACTTTGCCTGAATATTACTGAGATTGAGAATAAAGGCATTGGGCTCAGCATTTAATCACATTTTCTTTTTGAAATACTTCGGTATGAATTGTATGAGAAATACTTTAGCAGTCTAAGCTTTTCAGAGCCTTGAAGAATTAAACTGCTGAAATTGGTTCACGTCCAAAACAATTTAAAGAAACCATTGAAACACTGTTGAAAGCAATATAATTTCACAGAGAAGGTCTTGAAACATCAATAGTGTTTTTTTTGCCAAAATACATTTAAACACACACACAAGCATAAACACACAATGAATACATTGCTTGTCAAGCCTCTCTGTTTTATGGATGCAGGATTTCTAATCTGTGGATTTTGTATGTGTATTTGTTTGTTTTAAAGCAGAAGATTGCATGTTTTTTTCTTTGTGTTAAGGCTTCTCATCTAACTCTCTGTGAATGATATTACTTCCTATAATGTTGAACTCTGTAAGTGTATAAATCTTCAATTGGATCTCACAACACTCTCTTTGAATGAATGTCCAGGCTCTGTACTGTGTCCTACTTCTCTCCTGTAACAGAAGCTCAGTGCTTACACATGTAATGCATAATTAGAAAGATTACCTGATAGCATTACTAAATGAATACCTTATATTGAATCAGTTAAGCTATCGTGATCTCCGTCTTCATCATTGTTACTAACTATATCAAAACTAAAAAAGCGACAGTGGGTTCTTCTGTTCACACTGAAGCCTCTTGTTGTTATTTTTTCCGCCTGTTTGTCTGCTCAAACTTCTTGCTGAGTCCAGATGGAATCAGTCGGGGGTGACCACTCATGCCAAATATCAAATTCCAAAGCCCAAGCCTGTCTTGTATGAATCAGAGATGAGCGCAATATGGATAGAAGTGGACAGCACGCAAAATTGGAAGAAAAAGAAACCCCAGGCAGTCCAACAGCAGTTCACTCTGGGTGGAATAAATGAGCAGAAGGGGGGGTTCAAATGAACAAACTTTAGCTTCCACAAAAATGTTTAAAATTGTGATTTGTCGCGCATATCTTTAAAGAGATAGAGCTAATGGAGGCTGCTGTATTACTGTTTGTTTTATCATTTATTTCTGTATCACTGAGATGGTTTATTTTGTTTTACCATAGCAAATGTTAATACGTTACAAATTAAGTTCACTAACGGTAGTGGAAACAATTCAATATTCTGAGAACTGCATACGGTTGCGTGTACTTTTGTGTTATATAGGACAAATGGAGTTGAATCACTTCTCACCCTGACTTCTCAGCCTGTAAAATACAAAACGATCAACCCTAATATATAATATTTCTGTTTTGGCCTATGGCAGGTGATTGACATCAAAGAGAAGTTAAAGGAGTCCAAGAGGTTTTGGTCCAACCTGCCTGATGACATCTGTGCCAAGGGCAAGCTGACAGAGTCTGACGAGTATCAGTGCTGGAACAGCCACACGAAGGGCAGGTGAGGACTTCTGCTTCTCAGTATAACCACGGCAAATTCCCCCCACTCTACGGTTATCACATTCTGCCTGCCAGGGATTAAAATAACCACACTGTATTCCCAGATTAACACTCTCTCTGTGAGCACAATGGTTAGTGCATACTGTATGGAGAACCTCTATATAAGCTCCGAGGCTCTAATACCCAGAGGACTGTGGAGTTTCCAACACCTCTTATCACCACCGCAGCGTGTAGAGAGTCTCCGAGCCATACAGTAGATTGGACAGCGAGTCCAACAGTGAACCAGAGAAGTTGGCAGAGGAAATATATCACCCCATCACTCTGGACTACTCCAAGTAACAAAATCACCAGATGGTGCTATAAAAGGCATGTTATTTCTCTTGTTTGTGCCAGTAACATTTTAAGCTCTAAATCTGGAAGGTAAATTGATTGCCAGAGATGATAAAATGTCAGACCCTGAAGGAAGTGTGTTATGAATGATATCATCGGATTTTCTTGTTCCTTAAAAACAAACTATGCACACTTGACTTTGTATAGACAGTATCAAATTAAATACAAAACTAGTGAAAAGCCAAGGTTGGTAATGTATTTTTGAAATCTTATTTGCTATATTTATTGAAATACTCTTTCCTACCCGACTGCAATCAATAGATGAAATGAACTGAGCAAAAAATATCTGATATCTGTTACTGTGGCAGGACTCTAATACGCTGCTATAGCTTGAGAGCTTTGAGTACTAACAATTGCCATGTACGTTGTTTACATTCATTATGACGATTGTGGGGAAGTGGCTTTGTAGGAACTACTAAAGGTGTGGGCGGTCAATGTTGACACCTCGGTGACTTGCATTGTTTTCATTGCACAGCAGTTGAAGTATTTGTTATTTATTTATTAACACACACACTATTTATTTGTGGGCATCAGGCACGTAAAGGGCTCTCTAAAGCAAAGTGAAACCACTCCCAATATGAAGGAGACCATAGAGACCTTTTACACACTTATGTGTTGCCTGATTTTAGCATCCTTCAATAAAAAGAGTAGCTCTTGTGATTTTGGTTTAGTTGGTCTACTTTATGGGTTCTTAGGCTTTTACACCGAGATCATATATCAATATTCACATATGTTTCACCATTTGTAGAGATTATTTATTTGTGGTGTTTTGGAGTAAGCAAAAATTCAAAGAACTAGTCACACATACACAGAGGGACACAATGTCCGCACAAGAGGTTGACTCTGTGAAACAACGACAACTGGTTGTATTGGTGGAAGATAGAGCACAACACAGTAATTTAAGATAACTCATATAAGTATACAAAACACATGTACATAGAGACAACATCCTCACCACAATTTTCCTATTCTCTAAAGTTGCAGTGTGTAGATCTGTCAGCCACCATACAGTAATAGGCCTTCAGTGTCACTCAGGGACGTGCACAGACATTTTGGGGGGCAGGTGCTCAAGTGAGATAAAGGGCACTTCCCATAATCATTTCTAAAAAAATAATTTAAAACAAAAAGTTAAATATAGTTGCACATCTCTGACTTACTGACCAATTAATTGTAATACCCTCACACTCACGCAACTGTTTAATACTCAACATAATTCTACAAAATAATCAGTTAACATAGAGGTTTTACAGTCTGAATTCATCTAGAGATTTAAAGCTAATCTGCATATTTAAACATAACATTTCAGGGGAAAATACTGACTTGACGTAAGTAACTATCTGGGGAAGTTGTGAGGTGATGTGTTTTTTTGTTTTATCCTTTCCACCTGCAATGCCTTGGTAACTGCATGCAAATTAGCGCTTTTTAATTAGGCCTAGTTAACGCCTAATTTGCATATCAATGTGGCGATTGTGATGACGTTATTAGATACACATTTTACTGTATTCGCTTTAAGTGTCTCCCCTTAAGTACCTTACATTAGCCTGTATTCCCATGATAAATTGTCTTAAAGCTAAACCTTGAGCTAACTTATCCATTAGCTAGTAGCCTACCATAGTTAACTATATTTGTTATTGTCTTTTAGCTAATTAGCTGTAAACTCGAGGCACTGGCAGTTTAGTAATGTGTTCATCACCACTCACCTTCAAAATAAGCCAACAAAAGCCGGCATAACATGGGACAGTAAAGTGGGAGGTGCTGCTGCTGCCTGTCTGTCTGAAGGGACTGTGCCGATGTCCGCACCGCTGTGCAGGAGACGTGGAGGGAGGGAGAGCTACGAAACTTCACAGTCTAATCTCCCGACCTGATATTTTAATTTTGTATTCAATCAATATATTTTTGCAAAGGGATACTGTGCGCAAACAGCAGTAGATATATATTCATTTATAAAATTAAAAAAAGGGGGAAAAAGACCACTTTCTCTGGAGGAAGAAAAAGGGCAGGGGCTCAAGCCCACTTTGATGTATATGCGTGCATGTGCCTGTGTCACTGATGCTGCTTGTTTGCCTGATAGATAGCAAATGAAGCAAATGTGGAAATGTTGTTATCTGCATGTTTGTATTCTACTATCATCCATAGTTTTTTAGTTCTGATGCATTATTTACTAAACTTGAGGTTTTGAAAGCACGATAGAGACCTCCTCGGGGAGGCTCTAAACAGTTGCAGGGGAGGCTTAACTCAGTATGAATATTGGATTACCTATCATGAGATCAATAGAATTGCCTAAATGCATGTGATTTTGTTGGAGATATTTCAGAGATTTAACGGTTCCCTACTTTCACAGAGTCAGAAATCATTGAATGCCTTAGAGATATACAAACTCAATTATTGAGTGTCTATGGAAACAAATAACATAATCATGATTCAATATTTATCCAGGAATTGAGTGAAAGAAAGCAGGTAAACAAGCAGGAAGGGGGGATGCCTTTTTTCAAGCTTTGGCTGAGGGGAGGCCCAAACTCAGAATAACATCTAGAAAATATTACCATTTTGATAGTGCCTTCAGTGCCAATACGACAAGGAGATATTAGGTGATTCAGTTTGTTCCTGTGTCATTGTGTGCAGATATTTTCCTGAAGTCGTGGGGGAGGGTCTTACCAACCAGGTGAGCAACCCAGAGGTGGATGTGGACATCACCAGGCCGGACACACTGATACGACAGCAGATCATGGCTCTACGTGTCATGACCAACAAGCTAAAGAACGCCTACAACGGCAATGACATCTACTTCCAAGACTCAAGTAAGTTCTCCAATATCTTGGGTGTTTGCAAATGCAGGTGTAGACAAGATAATAATAATATTTTGAAGTAAAACACAGAGAGAAAAGTTTATTTCACTGCATGTTGGTAGATTTGGACACACACACACACACACACACACACACCCACCCACACACACACACACACACACACACACACACACACACACACACACACACACACACACACACACACACACACACACACACACACACACACTCAGACAAATACCCCTGCAGAAATATAAATGGTACCGAAATAAGATCTTGGATGTCATTCATGTTGCAACTCATCATAAAACTCCACTGAATGCACCAGCGTTGCACTGAGGCAAGACTGACATTATTAGGAGAATAAATAGCCGTAGGTACGGAGGTGACACATGCAATGACAGACAGTGAAGGCTATTTACGAAGATGTACATCTGCAATGCTGCCATGACAGAAACCATTCCCTCTTCCTGATTATGGGGATCCCATACAGCTGACAAGATTGAAGATTTTCATAGCTTCAAATAAAATGTGGCTCTGTGAGTCAACTGCCACTAACCTTTGTTTGTCAACTCCATTTTTGTCACTGTCATGTTTGTTTTTCTGTTAGCAATTGTGTTTTCCTTGTCACCAGGAACCTAGTACTGCAGGCACTGAATATGTTGAATAGGTTCACATCTCACAGAAGCAGATGTAATCCTTGTATTAAGATCTACTTGTGCTCTGCTATTTATAGCAGCTAATCATTCACGTATTGCTCTGCAACCTGTGAAGGCGCGGTCGCACCAGCACTTATGACAAGAAGAAAATTTGCAGTGACGTCAATTCATTTTGATAAAAGTTCCCTTGAAAGCTTACTCAATCACCATTATCTCTGAGAAGTTGGGTGCTGAACATATGCAGCCTCAGTATTTTAACAAATCCATTGTCAAACACGAGGTGCTTGAAAAAGTACATAAGAACATTTGAAATCCCAACCCATTTCAGCCCTTATTTATCAGCAGTCTAATATTAGTGTGATTTTTTCTTGCAGTTTTATTTGACCTGCAAGTCATTTCTATTAGCTATTATAAAAAAGTGTATAGACGATCTACAAACCAACTATAACCATGAACTAAGTGTAATAAAAATGTGGTTCATCTATCTATGTAATGTTTATAGATGTTATACGAATCATTTGGTTATCATTAGCAAATATTTGATATAGTATTTAAATTATTTGTACGACTTTTACATACATCATAGAGTCACTAATAATCAGTATGCCTTATTAGTTATCATTTTAACAGATTACTTAAATATAAACAATGTATTAATGATGGTTATTGTTGTGTTTCCTAAAAAGGTAACAAAACTATACAATCAATTTAAATAAGCCAAATGAGTATTCATTTAAATCTTGTGAGTTTCTCGGGCCGATTTCTTTTGTTACCTGAGCTTTTTTGCTTTCCCTTTGCCATGGATCAGATAATAGTTGTTGTGACAAAGTATTTAAATTCAATTCTAACTTTTGTGATTTTGTTGCTGCAGGTGATGAAGGCAGTACTTCTGGCAGTGGCAGCGGCTGCTCTGATGGCTGCACAACAGAGTTTGTTTTTGTTGGAACAGAGGCTCCTGTGATTGGAGCCGACAGAAGCGACGAACGCGCAGCAGCAGCAGCAGCAGCGGCGGCAGGAAAGTCCTTTTCCAGCGGACCCTCCCTAGTGCTGGTGGTGGCCGCCCTCACACTCCCACTGGGGGCAATGCAGACTCAATGGAGATAATACACGAGTGTGGCCTGATCACTGACTTGTCTGCTGTTACATACAGTATGTTTAACAGCAAGTTCTACTGCTGTTCCCTCACTGGACCTTCTGGAAACCTGTGGAGAGTGGCTTATTGTGGTGTGGTAGTACAGGAAGTGAGTGCAGCGCAGCATCCTGCTCGTCCCCCAAAGAATGCTTGGTGCCGTCACTGAACCAGCTTTCACATCTCTTAAAAAAAAGAAAATGTGGGGTTTTCTCATTATTCTAAAGTGCATTTTAAATAACATACTTCTAAAACACAACAGCTCTGATTTTTCAGATCAAGGGAAATTTATTTTAATTTTTTTCTTTTGTATGATGAAGTTGTGACAACAAGACAACACCCAATTTGTCATAGAAGTCTTTTCCCCCTCAGACAAATGGAGAAAGTCTAACTGTGTGCATGCATGGAAATTATGTTAACTGACAAAAACATGTTTTGTTTTATTTATGCAGGCTACACAGTTTGGGCTTGGTTGGTACAGGATTGTACAGAGCTAGCAGTTCACCTGGTTTCCTGTTTGGTTATATCAGTGTGACTTCAGGGAGCAGCAGTTCTTACAGCCACTTTATAGTTGCACATTTGATTAATTCTTGAAAGTGCTAATGTATTGCACAAAGAGCACTACTTTGCACAGATTATTTTTCTCGGCTTCATACGTTTATAATCTACAGGAAACATCCATCCCATAGAGACAGAAGACCTATATTTTCAGATCATTTAACTGATTGTATTGTACTTATACATAGTTGCAGTATGTATTTCATTGGAAGGTACTGTAATGTAATCTTGCTGGTTTAGTTAACAGCTCCATTTTTTAAAATTGTAATTGTTTTAACGAGTTATTGGATCACCTGAACAATTTAAAAAATAAACAGGAAAGTTATTGTAAGCCATTATACAACAATTGCCTGCTAATGCTATATGGTTACCTGATTTACTCTCTTCTGTTTGGGTACTTGACATACACCTAAAAAGTTCAAATATTATTTTAATTCTCAGAGAACTCAAACGTGTATTAGTGATATTAGGTATATTCTAAGGATATTTTCATTTATTTCTTGTCTCCATTGTTTTATTATTTATTATAAGGATTAATGTTAATTCTTTATACAACATACAGTATATGTTACAAATTGTAACCATACTCCTGTAAGCTCAGCCCTCTGACAGGCCCTGGCGGTTCACACACTCTCATGTTATAGTGCACCACGCTGAAATGTGCATGTTCTTGTTCGACCACTGAAACGGATCCACCAATAATGCAGGTTATAGAAGTGGTCATGTGTTTTTTAAAAGCATTTACAAAGTCAGCAACTCTAAACGAAATAGGGCGCCAAGGTTAGAGCGCTCTGTATCTTAGAACTAGGGTTACTATTCATAACCTCTATTCATCTCCTATGGCTTGACCTCTAACTGGCTCTGTAGATGCACTCCAATAACACAACACTATGGCTTTGACCTCAGGTCACACAGAAAATGTAGTTCCAGACATGTAGAAGTTATACAAACAAACAAAAAAAGGGATATTTGTTCAATCATAAATGTTTAGAACAGCCATCGTAGTGCTGGAGTGTGCCTTGGAGGATTGAATCCCATCAGCCCATAAGCACCTAAAATCCTTTCACATAGCTAATAAGTAAGTCTCTTGTCTCAACATGGGGCTTCCACAAACCCACAGCGGCAATGAACAGCTGCTCTGAGCATCTCAACGAGACAAAGCATACTAAAGCATGCATGGGACACGAGTGAAAACAGCATCAAGATCTGAAAAATATATCTGATGTTCTTAGACACAAATTACATGAAATGCAGTACTTCTCCTTCAAATGAGAAACAACAAGAGGGGACTCATGTCCACATTTCTAAAGTTATCTTCACACACACTTCACAGCACCTGAGAGAAAATCCCCCCTCAGTGGTTTCACATGACTCACAAAAGACACCCCGACACCACAGGAAGCTCCCACTGCAGAAGAGATGGAAAATATTTTGACCTCCCTCGCCTTACTCCCTGCTGAAACAGCTTCAGGAGAAGGTGACTGAACAGCAGCCTCCTACCAAAACCAGCATGATTATTAAATCACTGGTGCGTAAACCTTAATGTGCACGGCGACAGGCCTCTCTCGAAGCAACGATCGAGGAAAGACAACTCTAAAGGAAAAGTTAGAAAATGCATTTTAATTTGTTTTTATGCTCAAACTGTATTTAATTTGTCTATATACAATTCATATTGGACAGGCAACAAATGTAAACCAACGTGAAATATTACTTAAATACTTCAGGCTGAGTTGAAAGGTCAGTGTAAAGATAAAAAAATTATATTGAAACAAATTGGGGAATACATTATGACAAACATAAAGCACTTTATAATATCAACAGGACATTAGTGGAGAGAAACATGAATGAATTAGCTATTTATTTTTCAAATGTTCTGGTGATTCAGTTACGTTCCCTTTCAGAAGGGCTAGTATAAAAATAACATTAGAGACATCACTACCAAAATATGATTACCGTCGTGCAGATGTGACATATCAGCAGTAATGATAAAGATACAGATGTAAGTAATTATCCAAATGAATACACAGTCACGGTAACACATTGCTGGTTCAGGTCAGCATCGCAACAGTGCCACTGAAGGGGGAGGTCAACTTCGTCTCATTGTTTATCTTATTGGTAAGTATTTCAGTCACAATGTGGATGTTATAAAATACAATCAGCATTTTTAAGATCTGGGTCTGTAAATCCATTCTGTTTGGACGAACAATCACATGCAGATGTCAGTGCATACAGGGGTGACAGAGAAAGCCTGTTGAGCACCTTAGAGCTAAACATGTGTATAAAACAGAACCAGGGGTGTATGGGAAACTAAAAACATAACAACAGTTTCCCAAAATCTACTTTATGGATATTTTGGATTGCTCGTGTGTCCTCTGCCGGATCATCTTTGCATGAGCACAAAGAGCGACCACCGTACTCAGACAGAAGTGGCAGTAAACAGATCCTGATCTGAACTCACTTAGTGGGTCAGACAGATGGGAGGCAGTTAGACGGGATGGACATCCAGCAGTAACTATTTATAATGTGCTAAATATTAAATAAAGAGACTTGTTAGTGGGCAGGATGTGCAGCAACAGTTTTCCTGATCTGGATGTATCTGCCCAGGAGTGAAGTCTTGGATAGCAGCAGATAAAAGAGCTTTCATTTAAAAATGATGCTCTGTTACATGGAGTCGAACTGATGATTCAATTTCAGCTTCAGGCGTTTAGAGTTCTCAGAGAATTTCAGCTACACCTTATTTTATAAATTTAGCACAAATAGATTTTTTGTCAGCACATTTATTGTCAAGTATCACATTTCCATGTCAAGTGTCATATTGTTTCCCTTAAAATTACAATCATTCTGTCAGTAACAGATTTGAATTCAGATGATTGTTATCTTTCAGAGATGTTGTAATTGATTAAATAAATATACAGCACACGACAGGAAGAGAAAAAGTTCGATTAGAAGTGAGGGTTAGCAGGTTACATATCACTGCAGTCGGATACATTCAGTTTTCAAGTATTAAAAAAACTTTGTGGAGGCAGATATTTCTGAGTCAGGGTCAGCAGTGAGACAGAAACTTAACAACTATGTTTTCTAAAGTGTAAGGAACTCAGTAACCATCTGCAGCCACACAAAGGTTGAATGCACCCATGAGAGAACTCTTTAATGGTGTTCCGGAAAAACAGGAAAAACACTCTTTCACAAGTGAGCTGAATTTCCCAAAGAGCTTCAGTACAAACAACCCTCTTCTCTCATTACATCGAGAGGCATGTTTGCCATTTTCACTGCCTTGTGTTCTCTCTCTCCTGACAAGGCAGACATTCAGTATCATTGTCTGAGATGCTTCAATGCTTAGCTTAATTTGTCTGGGAGCTTTTTCTGTTTGTTTTTGTTGTTTTCTTTGTCTGTTCATTCTCTTTGGCATTTGAAAAACGAAAAAAAAAAGTAAATCGTGGTTGGCGGTTTTTTACAGAAAACGTGTTATGCAAGGTCTTTTCCATTTGATGTTAATCGTTTGCTGCACTTTTGCTAAAACATATGCTGTGAGTGTGGTACTGTTGTGATTTGCAAAATCAGATAACTAAGGAGCACATTACGATTTGTGGAGCTGTCAGTGCACGCTGTTTGAAGTGTTTTGGGGGAACTGAAGTTGATAGTTATACAAGCAGACATGCCTTACCATTTTTAAAAGACTCAAATGGATTGCTTATTTGGCTTTTGTTACACATTCTTGTATACAGAAAATAATACAAATGTAATAATAAACCTTTTATTAATAAAATACTTTATATTGTGGCTCTATCTATCGCCGATGTCCTTTGCAAACTATGTATCTTCATTGATCAGGAACCTACAAACAACAAGATATTATATTCTACAATTCCTTTAAAAAGTTTAAATTGGGGGAAGACAGATTGGATTTAGATATGAACTGATATGAAATGCTTTATCTTATATAGTTCAAAGTGTTACATGGATAACATTACTGTGAGCTTTAACTTCACACACTTTTTCCATTCAAATGTGTCTTTTGTCAAATGTAACAGATAACAGGGCATCAGTTTAAACAGTTATCAAATATGTGGAAAATGCATCCACCATGATCTCCTTAATAAATGGAATTACTGCCTCTTTCGTTCCTGTTATAAGTACTACTTGTAAAGAAATCTATATTACAAGTTACAAATGAATCAGGTATATATGCTTTGAAGAAGAAACTTAGAGAATTTTGAATTATTATTATACCTTACTCTGTGTTAATCACTATTCCTATAATGCGTTCAATTGGTGATTCAATTGGATGTTGGCTTTCCATGACAAGTATCCTACAGTATCAATGTTTGACATGTCTTATTTTGACAATCTTCACAAAGCCACAACAGAAATAACAAAAATGCATAAGAGATTGTGTTGAGATCTTATCACTTTGTAAAGGGTTCAATTATTTAAGCACATGACTGCTTAATCATATGGTCATTTTGATGCTTCATAGCGGGAAAAGCACAGGTGTAAATAATAACATTAAGGAAGGCTCTGTTCTACTTGATTTTCCCAGGAAGACATTACAGCATGACAATGAGCCAGCATACATAACACAGGACCCTGAGACTGAAGCAGCTAAATGAAATTCAGCCACAATTACTTGTATTATTTGCACATGTGCTTTTACTAATGTGACAAGACAAAAATGTTTAAATGAAAAAGCTCTATTGCTTAAGTTGGAGATTAAAAATATTTTGTATATCTGACATTTTCTTAACACTCAGTAACTTAAAGTGGACCTATTATGCTATATTGGAAAAATATATTGTAGGGCCATACCTATACAAAACATGTCTGTGAAGTTTTTTGCTTAAAATACCAAACAGATCACCCATTGTAGCCATGCCTCATACTGCTCATACCCCTCTTTTGAAGCCCTGTTAGAGAAACGCGGATTATGGGTCCTTAGCTTGAAAAAAACAAAACAATGCCTGATCAGAATTCTACCAGAGATAAAGTTAAATCTGTGATAAAACGCCATCCTGTTCTAAACCACATCAAGGATTATTTCTGAAACAGTATGGAGCTCAAATCGTTTTTCTCTTGCGGGTTTATCACAAGGTGAGTTCTTTTTTTATTTCCTGCTTTTTAAACACATGTGCTCTACACAGTACAGGTTAGCTCTGAGTGTTAGCGAGGCTTGCTAATGTAAACAAAGACGAGAATACGTCCATAACACGTCAGGCATTGTTTCTGATAGCAACTTTCTGTGGGTCCGCTGCCGATTTGACATCATATCGGCAGCAAATCTGTATCCGCTCGTTGTACCCCCGTTTTTAAAAGATTTGGGTACAGAGGAAAAGAGAAAGGGTTTTATTTTCTGACACTGCGTGAGTTCCCCGACACACCGGGGACACATATTTATGTATAAAAGACATCACAAAGTGCATTTTGCATGATAGGTCCCCTTTAATATAGCTTTTTAAGTTGATCATGTTCTTAGGCAGATAGTTGGCTTAAATCTGTAACTTTATATTGGAATATTCTGTAGAAAGGAAATATAATTTCAGTTTACCTTTGAAGTTATTGAGAACTTGTGACAAATGCATTATATTCAAGATGAATGAGATCTAATGTATGAGCTCAAATAGAGATTATTCTAGGGAACATTTCATCCTCATTCAGTCCTCTAAACAGCAGATCATAGTGTAGGTCATGCTTAGTCAAATGTACTGTTGTAGCTCCTTTTGCACAGTGTAGGTTACAACATGTCTAATATTTGCAGCAGAATAAAGGGCCTGGATTCCAGTAGTGTTATGCAATGCAAATGCTAGTGCACAAAAAGTGAAGATATCTTCACCCTCAAGAAAATATTAGTTGAAAGAGAAAGAGAGAAAGGTTGTGTTGAGCTCAGTTGGGATTAATGTGTTAACTGTTACCTGTAATATATCAGTTGTCAAACTTGGCTCGTCGTGTCTTTTTGTCAGGGGAGGCAGCAGAACGTCAGGCTGACAGAAGAGACAGAGAGAAAAAAAAGCTTACTGCGTTGCCACATTCAATTCATCTTAGTAGCTCCCCCAGACATCAATTTATTCATTTTCACATGACAACAGCAAGGGGGACAACACGAAACGGCTTCATATCTAAACTAGAATTATTCATTATAATCTCTCTTTCTTTCTGTACAATTATTTATGTGCTTCAATTATGGAAAAGCAGTGTGAATGGGCCAAACTCCAGATGAAATACAAAAAAAGGAATGGATTTTAAAGACAGAGCTCAGTTTTTCTGCAGGATCCACTTGATAATTTTGGATTGCTCTTGGCAAAACCCCCTGTGACTGTAGAAAGAATTAATTCTGCTCCACTGTAGTGCGGGAGAAATACAGCATCATTCGATCTGCTGAAAAAAATATTAATTAAAACCATTTGTTCTGGGCCTTATCATTGCATTCAGAATGTTTTACTTTCATGCAACCGGACAGTTTCATATTTCTATTCATTTCAGTGATCAGTATTTTATGTTGCTGTTTCAGCAAATGGCTGCTGAAGCATGCAGGCTATAATGTCAGCAATAGACGGTAGCTTGTCAATTATTCAACACTTAAATATCTTTACATTTTTCAACTCATATTCAGTATAGCTGATGATTTACGGGGAAGTCTATATACTTTCCTCCAGTTTAAATACACACATTAACAGTTGAGCGTCTTATGTCAAACAAGAGATTGGTGCACTTTTAGTTCTTACTGCTTGGTGATGAGTGTCTCTGTGTTTCTCTGCCATGTAGGGCAGTACTTCTAGCCCTGGGAATAGTTAAATAATAACTGAGTAATTTGAAAAAAAGAACATTCCATATATCATAGAAATGTAGTTCAATGAGAGCCAGGTGATTAGTGGGAGCTGTTTTTTCCTGATTTAATTTGATAATGAAACTTCAACTTAGTTATCAAAACATAAATGATATATGTGGATTTCATGTTTTCCAACAGATTCATAGTGATGATTATTTAGACAATTGTGAGGGTGAATTCAAATTTGCATAAATATACATATACTAACCATTTCATGACAATGTGAGTGAAAGAATGCACAGGTGTGTAGTTGCCAGATAACAATTGGCAGCTTTGAATAAAGACTGAATGTCTGGGGAAGCATGTGCTGTAGTCTTGTTATCACCTTTGAGGTTGCCGTTCATTACACATATTAATTAGTGAGTTTATCGTGCTGGTTGGCAGGTGTACTGTTCACGGTGTTTATTCCAAGCTAACTTGCTCACTGGAGCTTCACACTTTCTCTACAACATGAGAATGGTAGCCTTTCAATCCTTTCGTCCAACTCCCAGCAAGAATATACTTATACACTTTGAATTGTATTAATAGACTGCCAGTTATCTTTTTTCTGTAAGGTGAGAAAAGCAGTCGTCTAGGATATAATGTTGTTTTCTCTTAACAACTATTTGTATTGCGCCTACATAATTAGTAATGTCATGATGGCTGAGCCAAAGGACATTTCCTTACGGCGTAAGACTTGGACCCAACAAGAACACATGTCATTTATGGCAACATAAATAAAATAGTAGTGTACAATATAGCTTTTAGAAATGATTCTTAGCTTGTACAGACTTACAGACCTGACAATGAGACCAAGGTATTTTAATTGTCCTTCACAACTCATCAAACTCATTGTTGCCTCTGAAAGTAGGGTGGTGCCTGTAAATATTAAGGTCTGAGGACAATGTTAATAGATTCTCTGATGACACATTTAATCTACGCACTGATAGTAATTGCTTTTTACATGACAAGTAATAGTGTGAGGGCTTTAGAGACACTGATAAATCCCCTGAAAATAGAGACCTATGAAATTAAACCTTGGTTTTCAATTTTCCCTCCCCCAAGAGTTGAGCAATTAAATGGATTCAACCCAGTATCTTATAATAAGGCAAAATACGTGTCAGGGTGAATCTCATCACATTTTCATTAAAAAGTTGGTATATAGAAAAAATTGTACTTTATGTTTAGCTAAAAGAGATGCCTATGTTTTCTCAATCCCCTCTATTTGTGTGTATGCTCTGTCTCAAAACCAGCACTTCAGTTTCAAGGCTCATCCAATGCCTGCAATTCAGAAGGAAAATCATTTTAGAGTAACAAGCCTAACATATCTTTGCACCGTTTTTGTAAGAAGATGAAAAGTGTTTGTGAATATATATATATATTCAGTGTATAAATATATCATTATAACTACATCTGCTCTCTTGTCAATGCCTTCCCCCTTTGCATTCATTTGACTTTCGCAAATAGTTTTTTCTTGTTTCATACGTTAGAAGTTTTCAAATGATTCTCCCTCTATCTATCTCACTCTCTCGCCCTCTTTCACTGTCTCTCTCTGCTGTCTGTCTCTCCCTGGATTTAGGATAAAGACTGAATTACACAGCAGCACAGTCCTGGATAGCAGAGACAGAGATTACCCTGCCTGAACTTTCTACAGACAAGAAACAGTTCAGTGAAAACCCTCCCGAGGGCCCTGCCACCTCAGTACTGACAGACCGTGTATTAGCACGTATCAGGGAAGAGAAAAGGAAGCGGTTTTATCCCTTCTGACCCACCACTTGACTTGAGTAAGAGAGGAATCTGCAGTGGATATTAGGCCTGTCACCACAATGATCTGCACTCTGGGAAAAAAGAGGTTTTGCATACTGCCAGTGTCAGAGGCACACAGCTCCGGTGCCAGCAGGTACAGCCCCTTTTCTTTACCTGACAAGAAGAAACTAAAAAGGCGTAACTCCCAGAGCTACCAAGAATA